AGCCTTCTTTTTCCAAACTGAAAAGGCCCGGCCCTTTTCATCCCCCTTTCTATGGGAACCCCCCCCCCCCCCCCCCCCATAGCACTCATCATAGAGCCATAGAAAATAAGGTTCCTCAGAAGGGACCTCAGGAGGTCACATCCAGCCCAACCCTGTTCCAGTGCCTTACTACCCTGGTAGTGAGAGAGATTTTTCATCCTGCTATGGGGCGGAGATTCCTAGTCACCTCCTTGCACAATCTGAACCTGCCACATGAAAACAGACCTCCAGCCCAACTGCTCTGGCACCTTGCTTTTTGCAGTGGCCCATCCCTGATGCAGTAGTCCTGGGCAGAGATTTTTCAGGCCTGGGACAAGACCTGAAGTCAGGCCATTTTTCTTACCTCTTACTGAGTGCAGATAAACATCTTCACAGACACCAAATTTGGAATCAGGGCTGGTTATAGTTATGCTCCTGCAGTGTAGGTCATAGTATCTGAGGGAAACGAATATCTTATTTTTTTAAAAACCCATCCATTTAAAAAGGCTGATTTGAGTTTTCCAGAATGCCTGGGTCTGACACATGGAAAATGCCTTGTATTTGAATGCTGAAATCTAACTTTATCCCAACCACATAGTTGCTCCAATAAAAGATGTCACCCAGAAACATTCTTGCCTCTTGGGCCCAGGACCAAATTCCAAGTTGTCCTCCCTCCTGTGGAGCACCGGTGTGGGGTTTGACTGTAGCAATGCTGCAGGTAACGGCTAGGGAAATTGGTGTTTCTACCCCAACAGAGTCAGCACATTGCCTGAAACAGGAGACTTGGTGGCTCACTATGATCAAATGAAAGAAAGCAACCTTGTCCTCCAAAGGCTGGTTGTATGTGATGACCAGAAATGGACTCAGTGCGTTTTGGAAGCCCACTTGTCTTTTCAAGGTAGTGTGTTAGTCTTAGTGAAATTCTTGGTTGACATCTTCATGCCAAGGGTCAGTGTCAGACACGGTGGGAACATGTTAGCCAGGGTGTCTTTGAAGGCAGAGGGTAGATCAGGCCCTTGTGAGGTATGAAAATAGCATTGCCCATATTTTGCAGACAGAAAAACTGAGGCACTGAACTGTGAGTCCAGTGAGTGAGTGGCTGATCCAATAATCCCACAACTACCTCCCCTCCCCCTGGACCATTTTTCTTAGAGACATGGTGATTATTGCTTATTCAGTTATCCAGGTCCCGTCACAAACACACAAACAGAGCAAGGTCCACATTGATTTCTAACCCACTCTAGAAATTGCAAGCTGGTCCCTGGCCAAGACTAGCCAGGGCTTCCATTAGCTTCTGTGGGGGCGGGTTTGTACCAGATTCCTCTTTTTGCCCCACTGGGAAGCATTTTATGTTACTACCCCGCATACCAGACCAGCGCAGGCCACCTTCAGGGCAGGTGGACTTTGCAAAATCCACTATCCTGGTTGTGACTTGACAGGCACCACAACTAGATCCTGCAACCCGCAGTTATGAGAGTGTTTCCTCAATGGGAATGTGTATAGGAAAACAACTGACTCCCATGGGAAGCAGCTGAAGGGCAGGATAAAAAGCCAGTACTCCTACCCTGGCTCACATCTGCCTGAATGAAACAGAGGATTTTTTTTTTTCCTTGAAAGACTGGGACAAAACCTGTGCAATTGTACTCCACTTATCTCCTCCCTGAGCTGGGTCTTCAAAACCTCCAAGGATGGAGATGCCACCACCTCTCTGGGTAACCTGTTTCAGAGCTTTACTACAGCCCTAGTGATAAAATTCACCCTAATATCCAACCTCATCTTCCCTTGCTGCAACTGGAGCCCATTGCTCCTTGTCCTGTCTGTCCCCCTTTGAGACCAGTCCAGCTCTGTCCTCTTTGCAGCCCCCCTGGAGGGACGTGAAGGCTGCTATTCGATCCCTCCTTATGATGCCCCGAAGTCAGTGGGAAACAGCTTCTGATTTTGTACATGATGTCTCCATTAGGGGATGCAGCTGTCCTCACTGTGCTACCCTGTAACACACAAACCCAGAGAGACTGAGGATGCATCTAAACTGCGCTGCTGGTATCTTGGGGGTGTCCAACCCTCCCATTCCTGGAAGTCAGTCCTTCTCCCATCCCCAGAGGAACGAGGTCCCTTCCACGGCTCCTCTTCTGGGAGAACCTGCTTGTCTCCACCTCCTCTTCAGGTTCCCTGCCTGCTTTATCGCTTTACAAGGGTCTCCTTCCAAGACATGTGACTGCCAAGCTGTATTATTCAGGCAGTGACAGGCATGAAAAGTCCTCTGTGTGTGGTCCTCCCTCTGTGAAGTGACTTGGTGGCTTTGGCACAGCTCTTGTTCTTTCCCCAGGGCCAGGGCAGCTCATGCTGTGACCTGGACCGTTGTGTCCTGTCTGCAGAGGTTCTCAGACCCCAGAGCTGTAGCAGGACAAGGCTGGTGCCAGGATATGGGCTTAGCACTGGATTTTGGGTGTGTGTCCTTGCCAAGGAGCGAGACTCCTTCTTGCCCACCTGCCCAGGGGCTACTTAGCTCTCCAGTCCAAACACATAGGAGTAAGCAAAATCACCCATTCAGCATATGATCAGGGACATTGAGGGACAGGGACTGGGTGCAGAACAGTAGGGTCTAGCTCCACTATCGTCCTTTCTAGAGGACCGTGGGAAGACAGTCTTCCACCCCTGGTCTGGTCGAGAGTCATGTTTTTGACCACCTGTGTTCCTTCAGCAGTGGCAGAGACAGACCAGCTGGCTGAGAAACCCCTAAAGAGCTGCTCTCTGTGATGCAGGTGACAGTTTGATGCTCCCCATGTAGAAAGCTGAGCCCTCTCCCCCCTTCCCACATCCTGGGCTCAGTACAACATATCCAGACCCCAAGGGTACACATGGATGTTCAGGTGGGCACAGACCAGGACATTGCACATGCATTTATCCAAGGCAGAGGGCTGCAGGACTGTGCAGATACACACACTTTTGTAGAGGGAGTGCAAGGCATTGTTCTGTACACCACTCCAATGGGGCTTTTTCTAAGTCTCAGTTCTTCTTTAGTTGTTTTTACCCATATAATCCCCTACCCATCTTCCAAGCAGGATTTGGCCCTGCTGGGGCAGTGACTGCCAAAAGGGAAGTGCAGCTGGTGCTACCTTTCCAACAGGAGATTCTGCCATGCTTTGCTAATGAAAAGGGAAGACAACTGTCCCATAGACGGACATGTTGATGGTGCTTGGCTTGCTGCCGGCAGCTACCTACAAGACCCGTTCTGCAATAGCTTCAGAATAAATCTGGTTATTATTAAACATCATCAATATTTTCACAGGCCTCTGTGTTAATACTTTGCTGCCATCATCTGCACCCTGCTGATACTGCATCTGTTTTATTACAGCGGAGGAAATGCAAGCACAGATGGAGTTCCCAGTGCACCTTCTCTCGTGCTTCTGCATGTTATGCTGGAGGAAGAGGTAATTAATATATAATTTTTTAAGGATAGTGTAGTTGTGATTCTCCAGGGGACAGGCATCAAAGCAATGGGAAATACTTCAACTTTTGGCTGTAGATGGTGGGACTAGGGTAAGAGAGGGTGGACAAAAGGACCCTTTGGTGTATGACCACCATGGGAGATGAACGCCCCCATGACCAGATTGGTTGCCTGCAAGCTGGACCCAGGAGATGCAGGGAGGGCATCAGCAGGATGATCAAATCACAGACAATGGATAGGAGAGGCTGGATAGGAGAGATGACAGGTCCCTGGATGGACGCTGATGAGCTTTGGGGCTAGTCTGCTCTATCCAGCCACTAGCCTTCTCCTAACCCCCTGCTTGCTGAAATGCACCATTGCTTTCTGGACCCTGGCACCCACCTTCAGAGCCCCCATGGGATATGTGTAGGACAAGCTGAAGTGGACAAACCCATCCCCAGTACACTCATCGTCCCTCTTTTGTGGTGGGTCTATGCAAGTAAGATGAGCCAGCTCAAGTGTCCTGCTACCAGCTGGAGGAAGCACTCCTTCAACTTGAACCAGTAGAGCCCTTTCTCTGTGCTGGGAGGACTGGGCTCAGGGCTGTGTAAGGCACTTGCAGGGGCATGCAACACAAAGCCCACATACAGGCACGTTCTGCACAGAGCTAGACCCAAAGGCACCCATCACCCCTGGCCTGCTTCAAGCTGAGAGCCCAGTTTGAGACCCTGTTGACTGTTGAGTAGGTGCTTATCCACCACAACCTGAGCATTCACACCTGCCCCCATGGCCTCAGTTTTCCCTCCCGGGTACCCCATAAAGGTGTTAATTCCCCAGCCTGCTTTACACAACTCTCTTAGGGCTAGTGACAGCCAGGGGCCCAGTGCAATGGCTAACAGGACACAGTTCTCCTTGCAGTCATACTGGGACCAGTGCCCACCACCACCCTCCAGTTGTCTTCTAACCCTTATAGCCTCAATCTGTGCCCTCCACCTTGGGTCATCCCCCAGCCCCTTTTCCTTTTACTGGTGAGAGCTCATAGCAGCCTTACTCTTGCCTATAGCAAAATCCCCCAAGTCCCCAGTCCCTTTTCTCATTACTGGTGAGACCCCACAGCAGTCTCTCTCTCTTGCCTATAGCAAAAAACCCCTCCACACCAACTCAACTCAACTCAGCTCAGTTGTCTCACCCATAGTCTGGTGCTTTATCTGCTGTATATATACTGACCCTCATAACATGGGTTGGTATGAAGTCACAGCTGTCCATCTCTTGAGGCAGGTAGGCACTGTAGATAAATGGCTCACACTCCAGCACTGGATAGAAAATACCCCAAGTACCAGCAGGGGAGAGGCGCAAGCTCCTACCAACTCCCCCAAAGCTGCTGGTGTGGCCACCAAGGCAAAATGTCCCAGCAAGTGTTCCCAGAGGCCTGGGGTCATCCATTAGGCTATGTGCTGTTCATCTTACCACTAAGCTGCATGGGTCACTGGTCTGAAAGCAATTACAATCAGGGAGAAGCCATCTCTGAGCGTGGAAAATTCAGCCCTAGACAGAGCAAGAGCATGTAGGTTGCGGTGGGCTCAAGTCCTGCTTCAGCCTTCTAGGGTGGTCTGCCCCCATCACTGTGAGCCCTCAACCACTCTGAAAATTGGGCTCCTGGTCCCCCTGGTTGGGTGCTGAGAAAGTGGTCAATGCAAACACCCTGTGTCTCACGGATGCCACCTCTCCTCCAGGAATCATTGGGATTTACTTTGTTTTTGGGCAGGTCAGAAGACCGACCTGCTTGGAACTGCTTAGTACCAATGTGGACAAGGATCAGCCAGTCCGGTTCCACTAGCCTCCTGCTGCTACCCCAAAATTTCCCATAATACACTGCCTCTACAACCGGGAACTGTGCAGGGGTACAGTTGGAGAAAGGAGAAGTGTGGAGTGAAGATCCTTGATAGTGTTTCTCAATCCATCCCACTTTCCTACTAGGTACAAAGGCTCCGGCTCTTAATCCCATCTTGGTCCCCAGACTTCCCACATAAATGTGACCCAGTCAAAGGATCATAAGAAAGTAGGGCTGTAGGGAAGGGACCTCACAAGGTCACATGTAGTCCAGCCCTCTGCTAAAAGCAGGATCATCCTTCATTAAACCATCCCAGCTAATTATCTATCCAATGGCATATGACCTTGTTATCTTCTACTCAACGGGACTTTTGCCATTGCCTTCAGTGAGGCAAAATCACACCATGGTCTCTCTCTAAATACCTTTGAGGAGCTGGATATACAGGCATCACTTTTGCCATTTATGGATTATATTAATATTGAACTTTTTCACGGGAAGAATTCTATAGTGAAACTCATGGATTTTTATTAAGTGCTCCCTTGCTTGAGAATGACATTATTTATAAAATTATGAGAAGATAAGTTGTTCTCTTTCTTTTTCTTACTCTCTTCTGTCTGACCTCAAGTGTCTCAACTCCAATCTCTTAAAAGCCCCATTCACATTAATTAAACCTAACTAATATGACCCTGCTAGCAGCTCAGGAGTTAATATACTATTGTTTGGCTTGGCAGCTGTAATCTCTGAGTCCTGTTTGATTTTTGTTCCTACACTGTGTAAATGTGATGCAATTATTTGTTATGAAAACTCAATAACGTTTTAATGATTAAAAAATAAATCCCATCTGTTTGGTTTCCCCCGGAGGAACAAAAATAAAACAAAATCAAAAACAACAACAAAAAAAGATTGAAGAAGAAAAAGTCTGAACTTTCCTAATTTAAAAAAATATATATATATTTATAGAAGCAGGAGTAGTGACAAGAAATTGGGATGATAAAAAAAAGAATTAGCTGAATGTCATTAAAAGCACGCAGCTGCTGAGATGTACAGTCAATGATGGTGAGAGTTTGTTGCCTACCAGGTTCTCAGTGGGGGCAGATGACAGGACCGGGAGCAATGGGCTCAAGCTGCAGCAAGGGAAGTTGAGGTTGGATATTAGGAAAACTCTCAGAAGGAGGGTGGTAAAGCACTGGGACAGGTTACCCAGAGAGGTGGAGCAATCTCCATCCTTGGAGGTTTTGAAGACGCAGCTTGACAAAGCCTTGACTGGGATGATGTAGTGGGGGCTGGACCTGCTTTGGGTTGGACTAGATGTGACCTCCTGAGGTCCCTTCCAGCCCTCATTTTCTATGTTTCTACCATGGAGACCTATGGCCTGTGGTGGTGCATGGATCTGAAGCCAGAATAACCCGAGAAAACATAATTAACCAGTGGACCTCGCTGCTCCAAGCTCTGGAGTCGTTGACATAGGGGCACATATTTATGCAAATGGCCCTTTGCACAGTCAGTGAAGCTGCCCCCAGGTGAGGTGGAGGTTTGGAAACATTAGCAGGAATATAAGCCCTTATGCCTGACAACAGATGGCCCAGCATTAAGGGTATTAACTGGTGAGACCAGGGCTTGATTCCTTGCTGAGCTCCAAAGACACAATGTGACCTGGGCTATTCACGGGCTAGATGCACAAAGGGAACCAGGGATTGAATCCTCCACTCCAAGCAAGGGTCCCAGGCACCAGGGGAATTTGGGTAACGTCTACACCATAACAGCAGAGTCCTCAGCTTTGTCATGGAAGAAATAAGTCCCATCCACTCTCACCTGGTCTATGTATGAGTCTTTAGAGACATCCTGCTCTGCCATCCAGGCCTGGGTTTCTAGTGTGCTCAGTATACAAATAAGAAATGCTTCCTTTCTCAGAAACATCTGCAGTGATTTATGCCAGAAATAAGACACTGCGTGAAATGGGCCAGGTTGGACAATAGATGATACGGATAATTCATGGGCTCTTGGTGATCCCCTAGATCTTTCCTCTCTCATCTGGGTAAGGTGGAAGTGGTGTTAGCCAGCACGGGGAAGTACTCTACGTGGTGGAGGTCAAGGGAACCCCTTGTATCCAGAGAAAACAGCTGGAAGGCAGTGAAAGAAGGCAGAAGACTATATCTCCCCAGTGTTGAGTTTGTTTCATGAAAGGTGCCACAGAAGAAGTGATCCACACCAATAGCCCAGACCTCATCTTCACTGCTTCTCTTGAATATGGTACCTCTAGTAACTCAATGCCCCAAGCACCAGGCTGGTATGTTGGCTTGACACCAACTTGGAGCTAAGACTCCCCTGTTCAGTCTTCAGCAGTGCTTCCTTGTCTTTTCAGAGAGGTCTCAGCCCAAGCCACTGTACCCTGGGAGATCTTGCTGGACCCCAGCCTGTGGTGATACACCTATAGAACATTTACAATGACCAAAAAGGACAGCTTTTGATTTGCTATACAACTAATTGTGCAATTATTAGCCTCTTGCCCTTGATTAAGTGCATCTTGAAGCTTAAAAACAAAGGGCCAAGGATGCTGAATCATTCCTCGAATGCAAAGGCAGACTTGGTAGTGTTGAAGCAACGTTGTCATGATGGACCAGGAGATACGCAAGAGGAAAGAGTTCTTGTGGGTCCAAGAAAAGATATCAAGGCAGACTTGAGCATTTTTAATGCAAAATATTCACTGACCTTAATCAGTTCCACCATTCCTTTGCTCAGACCCACCCGGCAAGCTGTAAGGTC